CTTAAACCCCATGTCTCTGAGCTTCGTTGAAGAAATTTCTGGAGAAATTGAACCTTGTTTTTCCTCTGCTAGCCTGAAGATGTAAAGAAAATGTTTCAAGTAGCAAAGATCCTATATGAATTGTTATCCAACTTTACACATCCTAAGAAAAAACTTACCTCTGGACGTTTGAGCATGGATACTTGTCTACTAGATGATTAATCAATTGAGGCAATACACAACTGTGGGCACAGCATATGTATCGACCTTCTGCTCTAGTCTGCTCCATTAGAAATATATGTGCATTGCATATATCGTCAATGTGAACCAATGCAATTGAACCCATTCTAGCATTAACAGCTGATAGTATTGAAAAGAACTTGGTGTCACCTGTAGAAGTAGCAAAAATTGTAAGTTACTAGATGTTCTTTATATATGCACAACTCGTTCATGTAAATCATTGTTTTACAAGTGGATGGCACCTACTTGAACGATTATTTGACCTGAAATACTATGAACATCCGAGTGTTAAAATTGTCATGGAATTGAAGTCATTGATAAGAAGTTCTGAAATGAATATTTGAATTGTTGAATGATGATGTATGCAGACTAAGTTTATTTACTGTATGCATCAAGTAAGACTGGCTACGACCTTGCACGGTAGAATTGAATTCCCAGATATCAATAAGTGAATTTTGCTAGCTAATTACCTGTTAATGGAGATAGGAGTGCTTGAATGCTTGATGGAACACTTGAAGTTAGGAACGCACCAGCAACAGTAGTAGTTATTACTGAAATGAGATCGATACCATTATCCTTTGCATATTTGAATGCTGCTTCCTCCGTAAGACGCTTGGAGAGTACATAAATCTGTGAAAGCCAAAATATCTTTCAATCTAGGAAAGTGAATTAACTTTTTTCTTGATGTTTAGAATTACAAGTAGAAGCTTTACCCATCCAGGTGGTTTTGTATTCCAGACATGATCACTGGGGGTCTGGCAAGTTTCATCAACGACTTGTCTCCATTTACCAGCTCTGTCTTTAGCAGTAAGAGTACTAATGGAGGATGTGAAGACAACTCTTTTCACAGTATTGGATTTGGAGCAAGATGTGAGAAGGTTCAGTGTTCCTTCAATCGCAGGGTCGATAATATTACGCTGAACATAATTTTCTACGAGTTTGCGAAGAATGAAGAAACAAAGAGTAAGCCTACGCTTTCATGTACGTAATCACACTGATTAAAGAACTTTATATTCTTCAGTTCCAGTTAAAAGAGGTGCTTGAGGGCATTACCATTGTCTTCATTTCCAGCAACGTAGAATTCCATTGAAGCTGCAACATGAAATACACCATCACAGCCCCTGACTGCCTCATCAAAGCTGCCTTCTTCTCGCAGGTCAGCTTTGAATAATCTCAACCGGTCAGCTCCCCTCCACGATGATAAAAGATCCAAGGACTTAGCTGAAAATTTAGGTGCCATTTGTTTTTCCCAATTAGATGCTGGTAAAATAGCGTAATAAACATGTTCGTGAATTTGAATCGATGAATTCAGGGTGCACGAAATCTGATTTTATTCTCTCATAATTATGCAGTGTATACTTTGTGGGAGACACTCATAAAAAGTGAGCATGACCTCTGCTAATTTTATTTTATTTTATTTTATTTAAACTAATAGGTGGTGTTTTTACTTTGCACCACCGGTTTTTTATTTATTTAAAAATATTTAATAAATCAAATTTATTAAAAATTAATTTTTATAATTTGTTATGATTTGCTTTTCATACGGTTATCAAGTTTTATGATCCATGTTGCGGGTTTAGCGAGTTAAACTGGTTAACTAGGTTTTTTTTTATTGGTATTTATTTTTTAATTTCATTATTTTTTGATTAGGAATTAATTTTCATGATTTATTTTGATTTATATTCTATTAAGTTATTCCAATTTCATAACCTAGATTATGAGTTTTGTGGGTTAACATAAGTTGATTCAAATTGTTTTATTATGTTTTTTTTTAGATTTATATTTCTTTCAATTTTATTCTTCAATAATAGATTGATTGGGAATTGTGTTTTATAATTTGTTTTATATAAGGCTATTTAAATTTCATGATTTGAGTCACAAGTTTGACAAAGTAATTTGAGTTGGTTTTTTTTTTTTTTTTGCTTACTATGAGATTATCCTGGTTTCAAGTCCTAAATTATAGGTTTGGTGGGAAACTGGGTTTATTTTATTTTTTTATTTTAATCTCATTCTTCAACATTGAATTAATTATGAATTGAGTTTTATAATTTGTTTCAATTTATTTTTTATTAGATCATTTTAGTCTCATAACTTAAATTGTGGATTTGACAAGTTAACATTAATTAAGTTGGATTATTTTGTCTTCATTTTTATTTATCAAAAAATCTTGATTTTAGATTGATGTTTATATATCAAAAACATCCTACTTTGAATTAATATCAATTTATAAAAAAAAATTAAGTTTTATAATTTATTGTGGTTTGTTTTTTTATAGATAGCTACTAGTTAAATATGTTGCATGTTCAATATTGCACCAAAAGAATGTCAACTTGACTGAATTATTTTGCTAAAGAAGAGGCCTTATTCCAGTTCAAAGCTCGACTGTATTAGCTTGTAATTACATAAATTTGTGATTTTTGCAGAAATGTTCAACTTGGTATCAATTCTTTTTAGATTGTTTTCTATGCACGATAAAGCGCAACTCACCACTGCAATTAACAAATACAGATGAAATTTGTTTCCTTCTCTTATACTAGCTATGGAAGTTATATAGTTTTTAATGATGTGCATTTTCATCCTCAAGAATGAGCTCACCAGGTGCACATGGTGATGCAAGCTCTTAAACAAGCTAGAGCAAATTACAACTTAATACTTGTAGTTTAACAAAACTAATTAATTAATCCTTATAGTTTTAGAAACTATATATCAAATGCCATTGTTTTTAAATTTTGTTTATAATTTAGTCCTTTTCTCAGTTTCTTGTTCTTTCTTCATTTTCTTTAAAATAGAATAAAGAGAAGAGAATTAGGTGAAATGGAGAAACTTGACTGCCAAAAAAACAATTTTTAGAACAATAAAGTAGTTATTAATAACTCGGGGATGATCAACATCAAGCAAGGGGCTAGTTAATTATTTTTGATACTACTAGGACTAAATAGCTAGTGTTGGTAAACTACAAGGACTGACTTTATGATTAACTCAACAAACCATCTCAGCATCTCACACCTTCTAGTTCTCTCTTCCCTATTCTAGTTTTCACTATTTTCATCGATCCCTTTGGAAACTCCGAAATTGAAAATCATTCATATTTCTTTTATGTTTTCAAGATCAAAGACCAAATATTAATCCATAAAAAAGATGGGAAAAAACCAAATAAATGAAGATCATACACAGCATGAAAATTAAAGAAGTAAAGGAGGAGGAGTTCACGAAACAGACCGAGATCACGAAGGGTGGCATGAACCATGCAGCCTCTTTGAAGAAGAAGCTTCACTAGCCAAGACCCTATATAGCCATTTGCACCTGTAACACAGTATGTAGGAAGAGCTCCCTCTGTATTCTTCCCTTCCTCCATTTCCTTGACCCCCCTCTTGGCTAGCTTCAGTATCCAAGCCAGCCTCTCTTGCTGGGCTGCTTTGATTTGCGTGTGTAATGACTATTATATCAAAGAGACAAGGAAACAACTGTACAGTTCTTCAATTTGCATTTTTTAATTAAAACAGTTTATTTTTCTTGAAAGTCCCACTTTTTTTTTATAGTAAACTATTGAATTCAAACAAAAAATAAATAATTATTTTTATTTTATAATGGAGGGAAAATGACTGTTTTGTCGGTGTGATGCAACGATTGCCAAGTATTCTTGCATTCTCTTATTCACATGCTGCCTAGTACAGTCAACTTAATTAGTTTAAATTGTATTTTTAAAAATTTTAATTTTTTTATTTAAAAATATTTTTTTATATATTTTGATGTGCTGTTATAAAAAATTATTTTTAAAAATAAAAAAATTATTTTGATATTTAAAAAAAAAAAAAAAACTTTGAACAGGTACTGCTATTGTAATCCTAAAAACATCCTAAATATATCTTGTTTAAAAAAATATAGTTGTTTTATTAAATATTTTTCTTTAAAAATATATTAATATAATATATTTTTTATTTTTATTAAACATCAAAATTAGCAGCTACTAAACCTGAGTAATTACGTATCAGTAAATATAATGCAAAGATTTCATTTCAGGATTGGGATTGAAGTCTCCAAGTTCAAGTGGTAAGTTATCATCCTTCAATCAAAGGCCTTTATGGCTGTAGTTGACAAGTCTGGAACATCTCTTTGATTCGAAGGATCAATCATTTAAACTTGTGCAAGCAATCATACTTTCAAATACGTTGGGGATTTTGGCGGCTGTAAATTCTAGTCAACAATCAAAGGTCTTTTCCCAGGGCTGCTTTCATTTGCTAGCCCTTGTTTGAACTTTGCCGCTGAATTTTCAAAGGACAAACAGGGAGCCGCTGAGTTCTCGAAGGACAAACAGGGAGAAAGATGATGAGAAAGTAATGTTATATAAGACCAGAGGCTGACTCGCCCACATATAACTTGAGCCTCCAAAACTGAAATGTATCAACTCCAAAACACTCAGAAAGTTGAACAAGTAACCAAAACTGAAATGTATCAACTCCAAAACACGAAAGTTGAACAAGTAATATGAGAATTTCTTATTATTAGAAATTATGTACAACAGAAAGTAAACAAGATCTGCAAGATAATCTTGGTATAACAAGCTTCATGAGCTCCTGAAGATGCATTCCTATTCATCAGAATGAACTGCGAACATAATATGGTGTGGCCAATTGTAAATTCCGTCCTCTACATTGAGTTTTAATGAGTGGAAATTAATGTTGTTGCAGACGCTCTTTATCCATGAATTGATAAGATGCAATACAGAATACTAGCAAGTTCAGGCTAGAATTGATATCCGTTTCCACACAGCCAATGGTACAACAAAAGTCGGCAGTATAGAAATCAAGAAAGGAACAGGGCAAAATAATAGGACCAGTAAAGAAAAAAAACAAGGGCAGAAATACATCTAGAGTTTCAGAAATTGCATCAATTGCCAAGTAATATGTTGTGTTACTATGAACTATGAAGCAGTAGTAGCAGCTACTTCGGTTTTCTTACTCTCTTCTTTCACTTTCTTCCAGTTCTCCGCATTATCAATTATTTCCCCAGTTTTTATGAGGTACCGAACTTTCTTCCCATCATCAAGAACTTTATGACCCACCCGGCTTGCAATGTTCTTTTCCTTAGAATAAAGCATCACACTTGAACTATGAATAGGTGCTTCAATCTGGAACATCAAAGTCCATTTGTGATTAAATAAAGCATGCAACAAGAATATTCATGTATAAAGTCTAAAATGTAAAGTTAGCAAGGCAGAAATTTCTTGAATTTTTTCTGCAAACCTATCCACACTAGACAAATCTGAAATGAGTCATGGCAAGCAATTACTGAGAGAATATTTGTTGAGCAGATATCTAACATGATATTCTCTGCAAGTAATACCGTCAGTTGCATGCTTCTAATGATAGAATAACTTAAGAGTAAAAATACTTGCTAGAATAAAAATGGATCAATGGATGAAACAAAAAAATTGGGTTGAAAATAACCTTTATAATCTGGCCAGGCTCACCCTCTTCTCTGCTCTTCACGTGCTTTGTCTTCAGGTTTATTTCTTTCACTATCACAGTGCTGTTGTGCCTAAAAATCTTAGTAATCTCCCCAATTTTTCCCTTGTCATCTCCAGCAATCACTTGAATTGTATCTCCTACCTTAACATGCATTTTGTGTAAAACAGGAAGGCTGTTTTCCTTACATTCCTTCCGCTCCCATCGCTTGAGCTGTAAGAGGGAAGAGCACGTATCAAAAAATGATTTCTGTACAATAAAGAGCAAGCAACTGCATCCCATGAACACAATACAGAATCCTCATGGGAAGACAGTTAACACATGAACCTTTATGTTGCCCACAGTGAGCTCATTAGTGGAGTTGCTGCTCAAAATTCACGGAGGCGACAAGTAATTTGGATATAAGGCAATAAAACAGTCAAAGGTTTTTCTCTTGCTTTAGCCTAGTACAATAGAATAGCCATCTATGACAGCACCAATGGCAGACAAATCAATGAAACACATGCTGTTTACACAAGTGAACTCTGAAAAATGTATTTTATCTAAATTAGTTACACACGGTATGCCTTCAAATATCTCTTTGCTGGATTTTATATTTTCTTTTTCTTGTAATGCATACTTCAAATTTGCTCATTTCATTACAGTTTGTTTGGGAAAGGGGTGAATGGAGGGGAGGGGAGGGGAGGTTGATGGCATCTTAATCTTGTTTGGGTAAAAAAAAAATTAATGGAGGGGAAGGGGAATGGAGGTTAGTTTTTAACATTATTTCTTTTAAAAAATAAACCTTTCCAATCTTATATATCACTTCATCCTCTACCTCCAATTAAAAGGGTATTAATGATATTTATTATTTATTAAATTTCATTCATCTATCTAAACAAAGAAAATTTATTTCTCCTCCATTCCCTTTCTTACCTGTACAAACAAGGCAAGGCAAAGCTTTTTCCATCCCCTCCCCTCCCCTCCCCTCCTATTTCTTACCTGTACAAACAAGGCAAGGCAAAACTTTTTCCATCCCCTCCCCTCCCCTCCTAGGACAATGTTTTCCCAAACAAACTGTAAATGAAATGAGAGTGGAATGAAAGGGGAAAGTAAGATGAGAGGACTTGTGACACTTACCTTCACAACAATGAGACATGGCTTCTCTGGTGACTTGACCTGCATGCAAAGCAAGCAGAGTGATCTATCAAGTGACTGTGGCCTGTATCATTGAGATTTGGTATATTACAGTAAATAAAACAGCAATCTACAAGTTTGATGACATGAAAGGAATACTAATTTCTAGCAGTAAGCACATCACAAAACAACATTGAAGCTATCTTATTGTATGACAAAATGAACTCGCAGAGTTAATTTGACATATACAAACAAATAAATGTAATGCATGGAACGAAGCTGTGACAGGGACCAAGTTTACAAATTTACATGACTGCCAACCTCATTTATTCCCCAGACATGTTAAACATTGGAGATCATCACTCTCGCGAAGTAGAAATTAATTGTAAGATTGCAATCATATAAACAGGAAACAGCTTATCAACAGACAAACACAAAACACAAAAAGCTAATATTCATAATCTTACCAGCACCTATTGTCAAGCTACCAATAGTTCAAAAATTTCACTGGCCACCATCTTCTTCTATAAATATCTCACATCCTAGTGTTGCTAAAACAGGAAAAGAACATGAATTTGTGCTAATACAGTAATAATTATATATCAACAAAGAGCCCAAACATTTCAATACCGAGAAACAAAAACAGTAATCATAACTTCAATTTTTTTCACTTTTGCCAAATTCATGTGGAAATTACCACCAACATTCCAAAATTACAAAAAAAAATGTAGTTTCAGACAAAAATCACAACAAATTGATAGGTTTTGGCTATGAAGTTCTTAACCAACTACTGAACGAGCAATTAAACTCCAGTTTAAGCAAAATCCATTTTAGTATAGCAAAAAAAGAAGCAAATTATGCGCTAAGGAAAATCTCTTTAGGATTTCATACATAAAATATAAATAACCAAAAAATTATGAAATTCAAGAGCATTATATATATAGAAGATAAAAGCGTACTTGTGGAGGGGAGAGAGAAGGAAGTGATAGGCGTTGGCCAAAGAAAGAGTTGGAGGAGAGTGAAAGAGTGGCCATTGAGCTTTGAAGCGCAGCCATCGCTGCCATTTCTTCTCTGCTTCTTCTTCTTCCGCTACTTCTTTGCCACACTAAGGCCTTTTGAGTTTTTGATAATGAATGGATAATCAAAGAGTGTGTTTTTAGTGCAGGTGACGGCTGTCTAATGAACGACGACGTTTTAAGTTCTCGTAGTGAAATGATGGCTTTCTTGGGCCTCTTGTTTGATATGCATAAAATTGCCTATTTCTGTTTTGTTTAAACTTTTAAATAAAATAAGTCATCTATTATAAAACACTATATAATTTAAGTAAATGTTTTTTTAAAAAATATCCATTCGCAAAATTAATTGGGGATAAATTGTTATGAAATCTTTTTTATTAAAATAAAATAATTGTTTTTTTTTTTATGTTTTTAAAAAAATATCAAGTTTTCGGTCATAAACTCTATAAAAATAAATTATATATTAAAGCTACACTTATTTTTCAAGAGAAAAAGAAAAGAAAAGAACATGCACGATCTTTTTTATTTTTTTTAAATAGTTAAATTATAGAATTATCCTTGAATTTAAACATAAAAAAAGACTGATTTCAAGATCATTTTATTCTTTTTATTTTGGATTTAGTAAGAGGTTCTTTTGTAATTTTAAATAATTAAATATTATTAAAAAAATTGATGATACATGTAACGCACGTATTGATGAGATTGACTCGTGTTTTTTCTCTCAATTTTTTTATGAAATTAATTTTTTTTTAAATTTTATTATTTGACATTAATATTTTTGGCCCTTAATCTTTTTTTTTAGCTTTTTTTTTTCTATTAGATTATCCTAAGAGTAAATAAAGAAATTTAACCCGGATTAGCTCAAATTTTTATGTTTTTTTATTGAACTTTGATTTGTTTTTCACTTGGTCCTTTTGAAATTCTATTTTTTTTATTTTAATCTTATATTGCAAGTCATGGGTTAGTCAAGTAGCGGGTGGACTCGAGTTTTCTTCTTTAACATTATATTTTTTTAATTGTTTTTTGCATCCTTTAGCATTTAATTATTAGACCTTAAACTTTGAATTTTATTTTTGCTTTTTTAGAGTTATTTCGATTTCATATCTCATATTGCATATTAGTAAAGTTAATTTAGATTTATATGAATTATTTTTATTGGAGCTTTTTTTTATATTAAAAAAAATTTAACTTAATTTGTAACATAACGCAGATCATCTAGATATGGATTTGAAAAATAATTATATGATAGTTGATTTTTTTGATTTAACAGATTAATTCATAACCCAAGTTAATTCATAACCCAAGTGATCTAGTAAAATCTAACTAGATCTTTTTCATAACAATGTCATTTTAACATTTTTTTATAACGATGTCATTTTAATATTTTTTTTTAAATAATAATATTTTGAATTGATTATATTAACTCAAGTTAACCTATCTAATTTGTGACTTGCATCAAACTTGGTTTAATACGATTGTTTTAAAAGATATTCCCTTTTAAAATTTATTTTTTCCATTTTAAAGGTTATTTTTCCCAATTAAATATTTGTATGGATTCTGTGTTTTTGTATATTTTTTAAGGATAATTTACTATTGCCGAGTATGATCTTAGTGCATTTCATAACATGGCATTGACAATTCGAAGGGAGAAAGTCAAAATACAGTTGCAGGAAAAAGGTAAAAAAATGTAATTTTCCTTCATGATTCAAAGCATTCATGTACAAAATCAGGGATATGTCATTTTACCCAAGTGAAAGAGAAAGAAAAGGACCTAGTTATATTACAAACAAATACAAAAAAAAAAAAAAACCTATAAACAAACTGAACTGATCCTCTGCACTACGAACCCACTCAGGCAAAAAACAAAAAAAAAACAAAACAGTACTGCAACAAATCTGCTTGCCATGCTCCTTTTGAACTGCATGTATAAACCACGAACCAAAACCAAGGACTGTCCCAAATGAACTGATTTTTTAAACAGTCATCTATACTTCACAAGTGTCAGCACTGTCGACCGACTCCTCTCTCCGGTGGCGATCAGAGACCGGAGTTCTGATTTCTTGTTGATCCATATCGATGGAAACTTCGTCTGCTGTGGCAGCAGAAAGGGATTTCTTGTGATGCTTCTTATTGTGCCTCAATTTGAGGATCCTGGAAAGAACTTGCACAATGTCTCGCATTGAAGGCCGCTTTCTTGGGGCACGGTTCACACATTTGTATGCTAGAGCTGCCACTTCGTTAAGCTCTTGAACATCATATTTCCCATCCAGACGTGAATCCACTATTTCCTCCCACCCAACTTTTCCCTCAGTATTCATTGCTGCCTGTTCATCATATTACAAAAACATTTTCAAACTAAGAATAAAAAAAATGACTCGAACAGATATCCACTAGACCAACAGAAGCTATAATATAATCTCTCTTTTCAAGCAAGAACATACCACAACAATGCAGACCCGGTTTTTAGAATAGCTTAGAACATCCATTTTAATTCGTTGACACTTTTCAGTTGTTCTGAAATGCACTGATGGGGGGTTATACGAGGATAATTGGAAACTGTTCATGATGTAGAACATCCATTTCAATCATTGCCTTTATTTAAGTATTCTTAGTCTCCGTCACGAGGGCATAGTTTGTGCATACATTAATTAGCAATATCCAGTAATGAATGTCAAACTAGATATATTATATGAAAAAACCATTTGAACTTTCACAAACAATTTGTTTGTTCCATTAGAAGTTAACCATCCTGTTGAGAAAGAGTTGTAGAGACTTACAAGTTCAACATATTCCATAAGACCTTGCTGAGGATTTCTGCCAGCTATAAGTTCAAAAAGCAACACTCCATAGCTGTAGACATCACTTTTTTTTGTGAAGGTTCCTGTAGAAACATATTCAGGATCGAGATACCCAAAAGTTCCTCTTATATTAGCTGCATGTCTGTCAACCATCTCTTCCCTTGAAAGCCCAAAATCAGCTACCTAATTGAACCGGCATGAACAGGAGTATGAAACTAACATGAGAAACTAACACTTGTTGGAAGAAGAAAAACTAATTTTTTTGTAAATGAAAGGAAGACATCAAATGAAAATTTACTGTAACTTCTCATGAGTCAAAGTTCTTATAATACACAATAGACATACCCTGGCTCTCATGCAGTGATCCAACAGAATGTTGGAAGATTTAATGTCCCGGTGAATTACAGGTGGAACTGCCTGCAGCATAATAAATAAAAAATAGTAAATTTCTTAAGGATAAAATAATAAAGGAGTTTGATTACTATGGAGGACATGCATGCACATGTGCACTCACATTAGTTCACATAAAAAAGGAAGTTTACCCCATCATGAAGATACTCCAAGCCCCTTGCTACATCTAGAGCAATATGTACCCTCAAATCCCAGCTCAAATGTTTGATGTCTTCTCCTGCATGAAGAAGAAATCCAAGTTATTTTTCACAATCCCCATTATAAAATCTATCAATGGTGGTTCTTGGTCATTATTAACAGACAGCTACAAAAAAGCCACAATCTAAAACTTTCCCAGAGAGACAATTTTCAATTTCTAGCTTTTTTCACGCAAGAGGTTCACAAGTGAGGCAAACTCTGATTCCTGTGAAAATCGAGGGCCAGTCAAAGAGAAACTATTTGCTTGCAATCTGACACACAAGCTGCCTATCAAACTACGGTTACCAGAAAGTGTGTACGTGTGTATTCTTCCATACACAAAAGGGAAGCCAACTTACGGTATAAATGAGAAGCCAAACTGCCTTTACTCATATAGACATATATAAGCATATGCTGGCCCTTTTCTGCACAATATCCAACCAAATTCACAAGGTTTCTGTGATGCAGCCTTCCCAATAGCATAACCTGAATATATGTAAAACAAATTTGAAACGTTAAAAGCAATGAACAATATGGAATGCAAAAACAACAGTTACAACACGAGAATTAATTGCATGAAACAGTAACACATTGCACATTTGCGCACCAAGGACAAAAAAGGGATAATTGTTCAGCAGAGCAAAGAATTTCTTAATTACGATCTGGGTACATCTTTTTTCCTAAACTGAACATAATTCATATAATTGGCTCACTGTCTTGAATTCATCAAACTCCAAAACTTCTGTCCACAATTCATGTGCAAAGCAGAGTAACTTATTTTTCACCATTTATGCATGCAGCTCTTTCCTTAATGCTCATCTTATTAACTTCTCTTTCCGCTTGTTACAAAACTTTTATTGATAACTTCCTCATCTGTTGACTGGCATACCATTAGAAGTAAAACAAATGGGAAAATAAATTTAGGCAGACCTTAAACTACTAGTTAAAGACACTGATTCAGAAGCCAGATCCAGTTCTGTTCAAGACATGTTTGTGCCAGTTTTCATATCTTAAATGAGGATTAATATAAACATATGCATCAATGTGTAAGACACATGCCAATTGCAACTTGTAGTTATAGTAAACAACCAATACAAGTATGAATGTGAAATTGTTAACCAACAATACCTCCGTCTGAAATTCCTTCTCCCCTTGCTTTGAATCAGTTGCAAGAACTTTAACAGCAACAGTCTCACCAGTTGTCATTTGAGCTTTATAAACAGGACCAAATGCTCCTTGTCCAATTAGTGTTGTAAAATTATAGGTTGCCTTTTGTAGATCCCTTCAGAAATAACACCAGGAACAAAATTTTAAACATGAAACTAATGAAAGAGAAGAATTATAAACTAAGAGAGATTAATCATCTGGTGTTAAACCCATTCTGAAATTAAAAAGCTCTAGCAGTTTTTCCTTCTAGCTTAGACACCAAAAATCAGCTATTTGCAGTAATAATTCAACTTCAAAGCAGATCATTTTGAAGATTCTAAATTTGAAAGCACAATTATCCATTCATCATCATCAATTGTTCCATGCATCAAATGACCTTCTACATGTGCTGAAGTCAAGATACAGATAATAAACTCTAAAATCAAAATAATTACAAGCAAGCCAGTTAGTTGCAATCAGCGTCATCACTCTATCCTATGAAAAGCAAAAGGCAATTTCATTCAAAATCAACAGATGAAGTCATTACCGAAATAGATTGGTGAAAAAACATACTTGTAAGAATACACAGGTATCCCAGAAAATGAACCCACGCTACTCCTCTTAAATCCTTCAAGCCACAAGGACACACCGTTTCTTCCTGCTTTCAAAGGTGAATCCGGACCAATGGTCGAGTCAGACATGACAGCACATGCATCTGCACCATTAGCCCGGATAGGGATCGTCGCTGCCCTCCTTGAACTGCTATTCCCAATCTGCGATCGCTTTCTATGGTACCTAAAACAAAACAGAGCAAGAATGGCCAAAAGCACTCCAATCACCACCCCTATCGAAATCCCAATAATCAATCCTGACGATTCCCCCTTCATTTTTGCGTTCTATTTCACTATTCGCTATTGAATCCTCCAATCCATCGATACAACTGCAACAATAGAAAGTCTTGGTCAATGTCAAAACCAAGCCGCTTTGCATCTTATAACTAGAAGTCAAACAAAGCACCACACACACAATTTCAATGGATACATCGGTAGATAACAAATTCTTGAATATGACATAAATATGGCCATAAAATTCATATACTAGAAAATCATCAATATGGTCAAATTTAAAATTCTATGTAAATGGCAATAAAGGTCAATCTGCAGATTAGTATTGAACTGTTAAAAGGGACAAAGTAATCAACAAATTTGCATTCAGACAGAAAAGTCTACATTGTTACACAGTTTTGTCCTTAATTAACCTTCATTAACACAGAATCATTCACTAAAAAAGTAAAGCCGAGAAAAAAAGCCTAAAAGGAAGAAGAAGAAGAAAAACCCACCATTCTGACTTCATAAAAGAAGTTCAAAAAAGGAACATACAAAGGTAGAATTCGAAGAAAAAGAGAAGTGAGAAACGCTAATAAGCACACATTAAATTCTGGTCTTAAATCAGATAATTGAGATGGGATTTTGGTAACGAGAATCATTAATAAGAAAAGGAACAAAAAAAAAAAAAAAAACTTGAGCCATGCTTGTAAACGTAAAAAATGAACTCAGTCTAATCTGTATTGTATTACCACCAAAGACTTGCTCAAAAAAGACAGCATCTTTAAGCTATTCACTATCTTTTTTTGATTGCACAAACTTTCTAGTCCTATATTAATCCAACTACATTAAAAACAGATACACATAACACATTTACAATCTGTTTGGTTGAAAAGAAAGAAAAACTCAAAATCCCAGATCAGAAATGCAAAAAAGACACATTCTTTTTAGAAAGCCAACAAGTTTTCCTAACATTTTTTGACTTGTTCAAAATGTTTAATACCTGTTTGTTTCTTTGGCAGAGAAAAGGAAACCATTGGAGGGGTTTTTTTTTTTTTTGCGTGAAAAGAGAAAAATGAGGTTGCAATGATATTGAGCGAGAGAGAGAGATGGGAATCTACATAATGCAAGGAAAAAGTGCAGCAGGCAGGCAGATACGATCTGCTTCAAGGAGAAACACAGTACAGAGAAATGTCTAAACACTATTTGATATTATACTGCGTGTGTGAGAGAGGGAGAGAGAGCCAAGGAGTAAAGACAGGGTTTTTCTCTTTGTTTTTATTTGGGTATTTTAATTTTAAAATACATAGCGATAGCGTGAGTTGCCGTTTTGCACTACGCCCACCTTTCTTTAGGTGTTGGGGCGTGCCCCAGGAAAGTCTCCCAGAAACGCGCCTTTGGGATTCGAGTGCAGGAAAGTATTTTGTTTTTTTTTTTTTAATAATTAATGTGCTTCTTCTGACCAAACTACCATTAGTTAAATTCTCATTAATCTTATCCTTAGTGTATTATAGCCTGTTTTGTCTTTTCATATTTTAAATTTTTTGTATTTGGTAAGAATATTAGAAGGGATATGTGTCCTCTAGAATGAAAATATAAAAAAATATAAAAATTTATTGTGGCAGTATGTTAAAAATTAAACTCACTTAAAATTAATAATAAAAAAACAATAAAATCCAAAATCGCTTGTAAAAAATATTTGGGATTGTGGTTTAAGTATGTTTTTTAAAATAGTTTTTTTTTTGATGTATTAGGATAAAAAAATTTATTTTTTTTATTTTTAACATCAACATATTAAAACCATTAAAAATATAAAAAAATAATAATTTAATATTTTTTCAAGCTAAAAATATTTTTTAAAAAAATTAAAATTAAAAAAATTAAAATTGGTTGTGCCAAACCAACCTTATATGGCAGGCCACCCAAGAGTGGCCTTGGATTTTGAATCCTTACGAAAATGTCCATTAAGGAATTTATGCTTCTAATTTTGTCGGGGTGGATTGAGTGTGTTGCGTCATGATTTACTAACATGGGGTCTGGACACGTAGGGCCTGTAGGGTCCATTGATTATGACAGCTGTGTTCTCAAGACTTTAAAACGACAGGAATCAGAGGCTTTGCAATTTGAAATTAGGGTGCCATCATCCTCCCATTTGGAGATTAATATTGCTAATTGTCCAATAAATGACAAGCACTAGAGTATTATTTGTTGACCCATGATAAACAAGTACAACTTCCATGATCCATGACGATACCATTATGTAAAAGGAGTAGATAATAATAATAATAATAATAATACTCTAGTAATAATCATAATATATGTAAGTTGGTTTGAATATTCTGAATTATAATAATAATAATAATAATAAAATTATATTTGACTAATTAATATTTAGAATTAAATAAAAAACAACATAAATATATTTAATTGGAGAGGTGAAAATGAACACGATAACCTAAAATAAATACATTCTTAGAATAAATTCATATCTTGTGAAAACATGAATAACAGAGAACATGTTTTTATTATTATCTTCATTTCTTGTGTTTAAAGATTATAACTAAAGGGGATTTATAAAATGATTTTGGATATTTGAACAGAAATGAAATAATAAATTGGGTAAATTAGGGTTTTGAGTTTCTTGGTGCATGGCACAAGAAATACCCTAAGAAAAGTTGCTTGCTATTGGTAAACCACACAGAACACGTAAGTCTTGGTAAGAATAAATCTAGGGTTTACACAGTTGCTTGCTGTTGATAATACATAGACGTTGGATGTATATTTGGTAGCAAGGAACTGTCAACCCACCACACCTAATACATATTAATGGAAGAAAAGTTAAAATCATAATTCAACGAGCAAATTCAAGGTGAGAAGAAAAGATAAGCCCTCGCATAAATACATGCATATATACGAGCCTTGATGAAAGGGACGCCGCTAGCTCCTTGTCGTTGAGCTCAAGATATTCTGTCGAGAAGGTGGCTTCCCCGCCCTTCATTTCAATTCAGGATAATAATAATTATATTTTAGATGAAACCTAGCTGAAAGCATATATTATAAGCAATTCAACACCTCATCCATGGATCCCTTCTCAAGTCAAAACCTAAGCTATCTGAATTGTTGGGATTTGACACAATGAAACTGATGTTTTTTTAGTCCTCGTCAGCATAGTTGTGGCCTAGAACTGGATCAGATTTGAAAAAAACATGGAAAAAATTACAACCTTATATAATTTGGTAAACCTCATTTAAAAACCTTGTTATAATTTATTAATTTTTTTAATTAAAATAATATTATTTTAATTTAAAAATAGAATTAATTAGATAAAAATAAAATAACTCAAGTAAAATTTGTAGCCCAAATTTTAGACCGAGTCAATCACGAGACTAGATTTCAAAACCATGCTTATAGGAACTTGTTTACTAAGTCTTTTGCTTAAAAATAATTTTTTTGTGTTTTTGTGTTGTTTTAATATATTAATATAAAAATAAATTTTTAAAAATATATTATTTTAATATATTTTAATACAAAAAACACAACTCCAATTATATTTATAAACAGTAAATATATATAAATATTTCACATCGAGATAGAAATCCTCACATTATACTATAATGTAAATAGTAACATTCCTTAAAGTGATTCACCAACGTCATGATGCAGTTAATTCTGTAGTTGCCTCAATAATGGACGTCTTGAATGAGTTTAATTAAAAAGGTAGAGTTCACGACGTGGCTATATATTTTTTTAATATAAGAAAATAAGTACATTAAATGGCATTAACATTTGGAAGATGAAAAAAAAAAAAAAGGTGAAGGGGATGGCATAACTAGCTCCCAATTTAGATCGATATTTTTCATTTAAAATTAATGCAACATAATTTCTCAATTCTCCATGGTGACGTCAGATCGGAAATTACTTATATTTCTGTAAAAAAATATTTTTTTTTTCTTTCTAATTCGACGGATTTTTTGTATAGTAAATTTAAGTTTATTTAGAAATATAATAGTATTTTTTTTATAAAAAAATTATGTTAAAATACAAATTAATAATTTTTTTATTTTAAAAAAATTATTTTTTATACCAGATCATTGAAGTAATTTAAAAATACTAAAAATATATTAATTTGAAATAAATAAATAAAATTAAAATATTTTTAAATATTTTTAAAATATAAAAACAAATATACCTTTAATGTAAAGTACAATTACTAGGTTAACGTTTTTGACGGGGACACGTGTTTTCCAAAGAATGATTCAAAGAAAGCAGGCCCCAATTATGAAGACAGATCAGGAAACAGTATTTAGTAAAGAAGACAGTAGTAGTGTCTTCAAGAACCTGGGAGTCAGAAAAATACCGGAGTTTCGGTAAATTTTAAATGCAAATTTTAAATACCGGAGTTTCGGTAAATTTTAAATTTATTTAATTTAAATTAATTGTTTTATGTGATTTTAGATATACGTTTATATGAAAAATAAATTTAAAAAATATTATTTTAATATATTTTAAAATAAAAAACAACCTCATATATAATTTGTGATATTTAATGAAATCGAGCAAATATAACGGATCATATATAATTTATGATATTGTTTTTTTATGTGATTGTTTTTTACTTTAGAACATTACTTTGGATCGGTCTTCCTTGTACGCTCTTCATTCTTGATAAACTATTGGCGCCCTTTGGCTCGATGCTCGATGAACTTGTGCTGCCTTTTGGTGTTAAAAAATAAAGAAAAATCAATTAAAAAAAAGGGGAAACGAGTTGAAACTTTTGAAAATAAATAAATAAATAAATAAAGTTGTTGATTGTTAACCACGCCAAAGCTTTGAATTCTACACATAGCAGGCAGAATTATAATTCTTTAATTACACACAGGAAAGTTCCTAGTTATTGTCATCCCATTGTCAGTGGAAGTGATTAATTAATTGGCTGTGGGATCAAACAACTTCAAAATTTATGTCATTAATTCTCGCTTAATTATAAATTGTAAGGATGGGAGAGAATATGAGTATTGTTTAATTATTCAGATTTTAAATTTGTTTTATAAAAACTATTAATTAAAATCTCATAAATTTTAGAATTATTAATAAATTATATAGTTGTTAACTTTTAAATTTATAAAATTAATTAAGACACACAAGTTAGTTTTAATTAAAAATTTAAAAGAAATTAAATATAATTTTTTTACCCAAAAAACATGAGAAAATAAAAAGAATCAAGTATAATTTTTTATTAAATTCGAGTTTAACAAATAATCATTTATCACATATTATAAAGTAGAAGTTAAATTGAAAATATATTATTTTTGGCATGTTATTCCTGTTTTATGCACACCAATGGAATAGTTATATAAAATGCTAAAATCCCATTTCTCCTGCAAAAAAAATCAATCATAAGGCAAAACCCAACCGACACATAAAACAAGAGCAGAATATATTACATCAATGGTATTTCGTCATCATCTATTACATCAAATATATTAAAATGTAATTAACTTTTTTAAACGGTTGTTTATCTTCTAAGTGCATATACTATTCAAAAAAACCATATTATCAATTTCTATTTAAAAATATAGTTATGATTATTTTTTTATTTAAAAATATATTTAAATAATATTTTTTATTTTTAAAATTAGCTTGTTAAAATGATCTAAAAATACAAAAAAATATTAATTTAAAATAAAAAATAAAAAAAATTTAATTTTTTTAAAATAGTTTTAATATATAAAAACAAA